CTCACCAAAGATCACCTACCATGATGTTTATTCTTTGCTCTGGTAGTGCACACGGGGGCAGAGGCCAACAAGCTGCTGTGTGCAGAAGGGTGGAAGAGTGGAGGAGCTCCTGGTATCCTGTACATCACTTATGAATCATCTCAGGACAAGCAGGGTCTTGATTTTGCTCACTGATGAGCTGCTGCACCCATTTGGGCTGCTGGTTTTGCTGGAGAGTTAGAAACATGCCCACTTGAGGAGCTGCTTCCAATAAAGCAGGATCATGGCAAGGGGAATAAAAGGAAGAGGAAATCACAAATGGAAATTGATCCCTTTGGTTCCAGGGGTCACACTGCAGGTGTCAGAAATGTGAAGGTGCCATCCATCCCTGCAAGAGGCTGCAGCTTGTGCTGCCGTCAAGTGAGGAGCCATCACCTGAGGGACATCCTGGGCATTGGGGTCCCTCCCTGCCCAGAGGCCCTTGGTGCTCCAAGTCCTGTTTAAGACTCAGTGGCTCTTTGGCAAGCCATTACACACTCATTTGTTATAAACCCCAGTTTGCATTTTGGCCCAGAGGAACCAAGCACCACCTGTGATCCTCAGCAGATCTTCTCCAAATAGGCCTTTCTGGAGCCCTTGAATGGGAGAAAAAATCATCAAGGCAATACACCAGATAAGTACAACCAGCCCTGCTATGGACACCTGGCACTGGGCTTAGGCTGATCCCATGAGTTTTCTTATGTTTATTTTGGGGCATCATGGTTTCAGCTCCTCTATATGTGCTGGGTGCTGGGATTGACTCTCGTTATGGCTATGCATACCATAAACTCCTCCAATAACAATGAATAAAAGATCAGTCCCATGACTCCAAATCTATCTAAGTTTAATGGCTGTTTTGCACAACTGGGGATTAGAGAGACAGTCTGATTTATCTGGCTGCTGAATGTCATTTGCTGTTTACCTTTGCTGGGTGAGACTCAGATATAGGGCTATAAACACACTGGGGTAAGGCAACAGCAGAGGAGCAAAGTGAGGAGAGGAGACACAGCTTCACTGGAAACCTTGTAAACCACTGACAGTAAAAGTCAATGCAGGATTAAAAGCTATAAGTTCAGAAAACCATAAACCACCATCTATTCTACAGCTAGCTTCCCTGACTGAGCTTGAAACAAAGAGATTTTATTTTTTACAGGAGGCATTTCAGAGTGCTCCTTTGAGGCTCACAAACTATCATACTTTGGAGAGAACATAAGTCTGGGACAAAGCTTTTCATCTGCTCTGTTTGAGCTCCTAAAGGGATGCACCACGTAACATCTTTCTGAGTCATTCCAACACTCCTGAAGAAGGTTTTCCTACCATATAGCCACAATTAGCTGCTTCCTTGGCAGGCTATGATGCAAACCTCTACCTCCCTTCTGCAATAACCACTGGAGGGGGTGTAGCTGCTGAAAAGCTTTCATGGGCTAGGACACATGGCAGTCCTGGGATGGGGTGTGCATCATACAGAGGCTTGCAAAGTGTATGCAAGTTTTATATTACATGAAAAAGTAACACAGCGCTTACTTTGAGGGAGGAGGAGATAGACAAAATGTCTCTCAGACTGCAAGATTCCCTCAGCATCTGGACTCTGGTGCCCCAGACATGAGGTCTTACTACAGGTTCAGTAAGAGCAAGATGGTTGAAGAGTGTATTTCTCTTTCCCGAAAGTTTTATGAAAAAAGTGTACGTACAGTGTGTGTGGCCCTGGGCTCCCAGCAGAAAGTTCAACATGCAAAACCCTGCCCCGACTCACCTGCTCAAAATCAGTGGACTGGGCTGTGAGAGCTCCCCTGTGATCTGTGAGAACTCCTTAGAGATTAGACCAAAGCCAGATTTTCAAAACTTTTTAAGTCCAGGAGGCCAAAGAGTTAAGGCCAGATACAAAGTAAGAAGTCATGGGGAGAAGCTGTAGGTGTGCTAATTGAAGTGTGAGAATGAACATGCCTTCCTGAGCTGATATTTGGAAATTGAATCTGAAGATCTGAGGCTGAAACTGTCTCTAACCTCCATTTCTCCTCTGGAAGTCGTCTGAAAGCTCACGTAACTGCAGAGATGATTCAGACTTTTCAGAACAGAACTTTAGGCTTAGATCCAAAGTCTGCAGAACCTCTCAGGGTGGCTACTCACACCTCAACACTGTCACTGCACAAATCCCAACCCAACCACAAACCCATGGAGGTCAGGTCTTGACTGGCTACTCTTCGTACCACCTTCACTTCTGGGGGTATCAGATGTTCCCACTTGCTGAGACAGAGGTGCCTGCAGATTTCATTAATTCAGTTGCTGCTCAACTCCTTAGCACTTGTGTGGGCTCTGCTATGGGAAATCAATGATGAACTCCCATTGCTTCCAATAGAAGTAAGCTAGAAACAAAATAAAACACAACAGTAGCCTTTTAAGCAAGTTTTCAGCCAGCTCCCTGAGGTGCAGCCAGACATGCTGTCTACACAAGATCAGCTTCAAAGCTGATCACTGAGAGTGCTCAGAGCAGTCACAAATAGTCTGAGTTAATGAAAGAGTATTTTCCACAGCTGAGCTGCAAACTTCTGCCTACTCCTAAGTATAAGGTGCTGGGGCTCTTCCAAGTGCATCCTTCTGCTTTTGAGCATGAGGTGGGACTTTCAAGGACTGATGCAGATCCAGCCTTGCACAACCCATTCACTTTGTTCAGAAACTGTTGAAGAAACCATCATAGTGCCTCTTCCCTTCTGCATGAGGAGCCCAGTGTAGGCTGGCATCCAGTTCCAGCTCTGCTACATGTGCTCAGCAAGGCACTTGGTTTCTCCATGCCTCTGTTTCCTTCCCTAACATTTGAATTTCTTTGCTATTGAGTTGTCCAGGAATTGCTTCTCACTTTGAATTTTCATTGTGCTTAGCACAAGGGGCTTTTGATCCAAGCCAAGGACTCAGGATATTGCTCCCAACACACTGCATTAGAATAAAAAGGGTTGCATACGATGAGATGACAGAGTGAATTGATCAGATAAAAGGCTTTTAAGTCATTAACGTAAGTCGTGCAAGACTTAGAAACATTTCAGCAATAACAGAAAGTGCGTTAGGGCCCTAGCAATTTCAAACAACTCTTTCCTAATTGGCTTCACAATATTGTTCAGTTCAGTCTTTTTCTGTAACATAGCGATATTAGGAAATTGATGCTTTCAGAGCCACCAGTAGCTCCCAAACAATTTTTTCAAGGCTGTGCGGTGTTTTCCTTGCTTTAATAATAGGAAAGCTGCCTAGAGACTCAAGTTCAATCTATCTTTCTACCCCAGAAAAGGAGCATCAGTTGATATTTTAAGCTTTCACTGATCTTCTACCTGGCCAAACCCCAAAGGGATTGGGGAAGACACTGAGCAACACTGGGGACACATAACATGAAAATGTGATACCAGCATGGATGATGCCAGCAGATTAAGTGCCCGTTTTGATCTCAGGTCCTCAGAGGACACATTCCCAGAAGAGATGGTCTCCAAGAGAGGTTTCCCCTCCTCATCCAACCCTGTGCTCCCATATCCCATCACTGGGAATTGTGATGGGCACACCATGGGAGCAGTCATCCTCACAGCACAAGGCCACCAGTCTCTCAGGGGGGATGTATAGGAAGGACATCTCCATTTGCCACAGGTTTGATGCTGCCTATTCTTGCAACTCACCATCATAGCAAGGAGCTTTGCTAATACGAGGTTTTATTTGTAGGAGGACCAGTTGTGAGTGTTTAGCCTCCAGACCAGGCCACGTCCTAGCTGAAGTCCAAACCCAGCAACTTACCTGCTGAGCTTCAAACCCCACTGCATCCATTTGCATTTCTTCCTTCAGTCCCATCCTAAACCGCACAGACACAGATCTTCCCTCTCCAAACAACTCCTGTTGCAACACGTGTCCTTGCTTTGCATCAAAATCCATTACAAAATATCCCCTTAGCTTCTGGAAACACTAAAAGCCTTTTTATGTCAAGGAGTTAAATCTCGTTACTCAGCTGTCATTAATTTCCCTCTTTTAACACCAAAGGGTTTGATCCCTTCCTGTTAAAAATTCATTCACCAAAGCTAAATCATTCTTGTCTTCTCCTTTTCAGCCAAGGAAGAAGAAAAATTAAAAGGGCTGCAATGTTTTGCTGGCTCACTCATCCTGTTACATCCTTAGAGAGGCTCTTCTGTTCCTGGGTCATGAGACTGTTTTTTATGCCCCAAAAGGATATCAAAGTGGGCTAAATGTTGGCTCTGAGACAGGACCTTGTATGTAGGAATCGACCCAAAGATTAGGATGAGGAGCATTTAATACTGAGGCTCTGGTCCTAACCAAGCCCATGGCTGGGTAGCCAATACCACTCAGCTCCTGTACAAACAATATATTGGCCACCCTTTTGCTCCACCATCACTGGTCGTGACCACTTCTTATGTGGTTTCTGCTTTTCACAAAGCAGTAGACTCAACTGTCTGGCATGTTTGAGCCATCCCTTTGGTCACACAAGCACAGTGCTGCCAAAGATGCATTGCAAAAGCTGGACTTGAAATTCTTCTATTGTGATCTCTCACTGAAGAGGTCAGCTGGAGGAGGAAAAAATAAATAAATAAATGCTCCCTTCAGCAGGGTTAATGGTGGGGTGGAAACTCCACAGGCTAAAGTCAATGTTTACCTAAGGCTGTAACACCTTTTGTGGCCACTGCCAATCGTGAAACCCATCCCTGGTAATACCCTGCTCAGGGCTGAAACACCCTGGGGTAACTGGGAGAGCTGGGCAGCCCTGCCCCAAGGGAGATGGGACTGCACATTTTTGCAGTTGTCTCCCCATCATCTCCCCACAATAGTGTGGGAGAGGATGGAAAGGTCTGGGAGAGCCCAGTCAGCACACTCCCGCAAAGCACCAACGCAGCAGACACAAAGCCCTGAGCACCAAATCTTCACTCCATGGACTGTTTCTACAGAGGAGTAAGTTCAGCCAGGTTTGGACCAGATTTTATTCCATTTAAAAGGGACCAGCATGAGGTATCCAGGCACACGCTGATATCTCTGCGTAATTCACTCATGCCTTTCTTATAAAGTGCCGAGCTATTTCTCCTTTTAAAGCACAGATCATTTTGTGGTTTTCACGTTTTTGATCTCCTGCAGGAGGTCAGACATTAGAGTGAGCATGACTAATGTCATCATGAAATCTTCAAAATCAATTTTGTTCTCTGGCTCCTCATCCAAGTCAGAAATTATCTCCAGGTATTTTGGTTTGTTTTCTTGGCCCTATGTAGGATTTTAAATGAAAAAAAAATAATTAAGAATAAAATAACTTTTTTATTGCATCGTTAAAAAAAGAGACATCTACCTATGTAAACATTAATGTATTTTTCTATCTTCCAATTCATGTTTTTATATCAACATTTACAGTAGTTTTTCTGAAGGTATACCAAGGAACTCAAACAGACGCATTATTGCAATCAGACAGGAGAACAATCAGTCCTCAAAGTTTCCACCAGAATCCAGAATATATCTTTTAAAAGACACCTAATCATGACTGAAAATCTGACAGTGATGATGACATAGATGGTAACTGCTGGAAAAAAAGGGAGTCCTATGTCTTGATAAAACTGGGGGGAGGAAACAACCGAATCAACCAACCTCCTAAATTTAATATTTAAATATATACAAATATATACTGTGAAGGTCTCAGAAACTCTAGATTTTACGGGCATAACTTCAGTACTATTCCCTGTCCTGTTGAGCATCACTGTTGGAATGGATTATTAAAATTATGAAACTATATATCATGTTTGTTATTCATATTTCCTTATAAAAAAAACTTGCTAGAGTTCTAGGATGGGTTTTTAGTTTAATAATCTCCAAAACATCTCACAATCCCAAGTATGATTGGCAATTGATATTTTCAATTCTTTTTCTGTAAGGAACCTAGTTTCTTATTTGGTGCCAATTCCCCCTCCCCAACGAGTCATGTGATTTTGTTCTTTTTGGAAGCAAAGGTATTGTCAAGAACGTCTTTAGTACTAAACACCTTTGTCGTTTACTTAGTTGAGCTTTTTTTATTAGTCCCACTAAAGTGGTAGCTTTTCCTACCACTTGATAAAACTGGTTTTTGGTTTTCTTTTTGTTTTGTTTGTTTGGGTTTTTTTTGGTGTGTTTTTTTTTTCTTTTAATTTAGGGAGGGGAAAAAAAAAACCCTGCAAGGAGTTTACAGCCACAAGTGCCAATATGGCTGTTTTTCACCATACCCAGCTGGATGGGTGAGGGCTTTCTGCCCCCTCTATCCCAGCAGCCCCACCAGTGACCACAGTGCATGTGGCTCCACGGCACAGGGTTGCCTCTCACAGTGCTGGGTCAGCACTCTGGCAAACCATCAAATACCTCATTAAATGCACTGGGTTTCCTCTCTTCATAAATTAAGTCTCTTGTCACCGTCTACGGGATTTTTTTTCTTCATTTGGTTGTTTTTCTGTTGGTTTTTTTTTTTTTTTTTTGCAATTGCCCTATTTTCTTTCAACAAATGCAAGCAGACATCCACCGTGGTTTATTTTCATCCCCTCCTTTAGCCCTGTGTTGGACACAGGCTCAACATAAAAGCACCTAATCCACTGAATGTTTGTTTCAAATCCCTAAAGTCTCACTTGAGATTATCCCATGGACTGATGTTTGCCCAGCTGCAGGACAGAGCCTGAGGTGCCATCCCTGCACCCAAAGTGCCTGGTCAGTGCTGTCACAGTCCCACCCACTCACCCAAACCCTCTCACCTGTATGAAGTGCCAAAACTGGGTTTGCAGCAAGCTCTTGGTTTCAGCTCTGCTGAGCTTGCCCTCCGGGTCAGCATTGTTGTTATACACCAAAGCCACTGTAGCAAAAGCTTTTTCAAGGTCTGAGCCTTGTCCTAGAGCTGGAGGGAGGAAAAGTTATCAGTCTACCCGAAAAAGCGGCATTTGAGATGTAATTGAAAGCTATCTGTTAGAACCATCCTGGGTGGGTGGAAATCTGCGTAGTTTCACTAAAGTTAATGAGACTGAAAGTGTTTATACCACAAAGGACCCGGCACAGATTTTATTTGGAGTGGGCCAGCAACATGCCTCGTCCTACAGAGTCACACCCTGAAGGAAGCTTTCCTTCGGAGCTAGGGCAGTAACACAGGGCAATGTGTGAGACCCTTCTGGTCTACCCTAACCCTGGGCATCCAGCGAGGACCTGCCATGCCATGGGGACAGGCCATGCTGGCTGTCCAGGTGCGTTTGGACTCCCAGGGTCCTCTATCATAGAAAACATGACCCAACTGGGAAGCCTGGCTGCACAGAAATGCCCGTGCCTGAGCACCAGCAGCGCATTTCAGCATTATGGTACACTTGGGATTTTGGCAGATTCATTGCCCCTGCTCCTGAGCCGCATCCTAAAGAGTGCACACTCACATCCCTCAGTTAGTATCAGGCACCACAGACAATTTGGGTTGTGATTTTTAATGAAAAGGCAGGGGAGAAGTGATCAATACAGGAGCACATTGCACAGGGACACGAGACTCTCATCTTGCCCCAGCTGAGGGTCTGCACAGCCTCCGCAGCTCTGTGACATTACTGGAATTTTCTGCACGTGGGCTGTAGAAGACCTGAATCCCCAAGGGGTGATAAATTGGTGCCCTTACCTTTTATTGATGCCAGCTGCTTGGCTATGGGTATGCTGCTAGCAAGAGAGAAGAGAGGCACAGTTATCACCTGGTGAATTGTGTGAGGGTATATAGTTTCTTCATGAGTGAGCTTTATTTAGTCCCCCAGGAACTCAGGGCTTCCCAAGGGAGACTGGCTTTCCTTCACAATGGAAAGTGGCCTCTACAACCAGCACAGAACATCACACAGCTTCTAATCCCTCACCTAAGCAAGTAGGCTGGAGCTGTTATTACTAAAGCTGCTAATTAATTAATTTTAAGAGAGGGGCCCTGCAATACACTTCATATAATTTCTTCAGAACATGAAAGAGGTCCAGGAAGTTTCTCAGTTTTAAGCCCACCCCCAGGAAAGTGCAGAGCGGTCCATCATCCCCTCCTCATCAATGCTCTCAGTTTGGAGCAGACACATGCCTTTTATTCCCAGCAGGACTCACAGCTGTGAGAAGCACATCCTTGCTTTCTGTTAAAATCTAAAGCCTGCTTACCTTTTGCTAAAGTGCTGAAACTAATTACAGAGCAGAGAGGTTTGGCTTGTGATAGAGACAAACACATCCAGATAATGAGTTTCAAGACAAATGGCAGATCACCAAGATGACAGAACAAAGCAGTGACTTACCACTTGGGCATGCCTGCAGCAGACAAAGGGCTTTTTTTGGTGGAAGCAGGAACTGGCTGATTGACCGAGTACTGCTCGGTGCTGGGAATGCTTGCTCTGCAGCCACACATCTCGAGGCCAGGGTGTTTATGATCTCCAAGCAACTCGAGTAATAGCAAACAGGTGGATTCAAGCTCTGCCCTGTGGAAGCAACCTGCCTGCAGCCATGCCTGTCAATAATGTAATCACTACCTGGCTAAATACACCAGTCTACAGCAGCCCCTGCTGGGCTGGCAAGTAGTGTGGCTGGTATTTACACGAAAATTTGACAGAAACAAACCAAACTAATGGAGCCTGGATCCTCTTAGACCTATAGGGATGTAACTTTACATCAGGACTAAGACACTGAATCCATTCAGCCATACACATTATAATTTTAATGAGAAACTTCCCTGGCATGGGCTAATGTAACTTGTCCCAGGCTATAAAGCGAGTTGTTCCTATAACTAGAGTCAGAAACCAAGTGTTTCTCAATTCCTGATCCAGAGTTTATCCTAGGTGAGCACACTCCTGCTCTAATACATTCTATTCCCCTGTCACAGTGCAAAGAGGAGATCCATTCTGCTTCCAAACTGCTTCCAAAGCAGCATCCAGCACAGAGCCTCTGCAGATAGTGCCTGCTTTCAAAAGCAGCACTGAGCCATATGGCAGAGCAGTCGCACATTAGAGGAACTGGAAGGGCTCCGATGAACTTTGTTATTTATTGGCATGGATATCACTATTAGAAAACACACAGCTTGTCACGCTGCCTATCTCTGTGCATGGTCTCCTTCCTGCAGATCCTTTGCCTAGAGGTGTCTAGACAGGATAACTTCAACCTAGAAGATCAAGCAGCCATTTTAATCCCAGGGTGGTCTTTTAATAGGTAGTGACTTCAACTACCTCATCCAGCTCATCATTCCTGGTGAAAGGATACAATACTGATGTTAAAACTATCCAAGATGAGACTTTATGTAACAGGACACACAAAGGAGACTGCAACAGATGGCCTAGAGAATTAAAATGTTTTCCTCATTTAGTAGAAGCTAAATTACTGAAGGCTAATGAATAAGGATGTTCACCACCTTACTGTTCCTGGATTTTAATTATCTTAAAAAGCATGGGAAAAGAGAACCTTTAATTTTCTATCTAAGAGTGTCATTACTCAAACAATTCAGAGCCTTTTTCTGAGAGGTTTAAGCTGTCTTAGATCTCTAGTGAATTCTTTGGGACTGGCTCATGAATAAAACAGAGCCTGTAATTGCAATGACGCAGCCAAAACACATATAATCAATGCTCATTATCCCATCAATTAACACACTAAAATTAAACAAGAATTCAGGCTTAGTAATCTCCCATCAGCTAAAAAAAAAAAAAGGAGTCTTGATATCATGTTGAAGTGATAATTCCCTTTCACATCTGTTGAACCATACAACAAGGCATGAAAAGCCTTACATCCCGGTTAATCCATGGAATGAGAATGTTTGGTCTTAGCATCCAAGGTAAAAAATGAGAGTGAGAAACAGATTCAGTTTCATGTTTATCAGCGACAGGCAGTGCTGTGAGCCGGCTGGCAAACCCAGCCCTCTGTGTTTTGGGCACTTTTCACTGTAGATCAGATTTCAGCTCACAGTTGTTTTAATCTCACTGACTTTTGAGAGCCTGAGCTCTAGAACAGGTGATTTGCTTTGCTGGGGTAGTAACAAGTTCAAACAAGCTTGGGGTTCATTATCCCTCTAGAATACACTAATTAGTGTATGCAGGAGTGTTTTTGCCTGACAGATAAAGGGTAGCATGAGGATAACCCTTGCCTTTGCAGATGATCAGCTTTGAAGACAGCGAGATTTTGGCTGTGTGTGTTGCTCGAGTATTCTGGTCAGCAAGGTGTGCAGGGAGCCAGGCCATCTGCTCTGTAGCTATTTTGATACACACTATTTATGTTTGAAATATCCAGGTGCTTCTATCGGTCAATTTTTAGCATGTTTCACACGTTAACAATCTTGTCTGCACAAAATACGCAACCTGCCACTTCAAACTGCAAAATCTTTACAGGCAGCCACTGCAAAAAGCTGCAGCCTCTGCTTTGCTTTTGGTATGTTCCCAGAGTTTTCCCATTCTTTTTCAAGTGCTTCTTGCATTTCAAGATGACTTGTGTTGTGAAGGGTATATGTGACAAAGCCCTGGCTCCCTTAGAGATGACCCTGGGCAGGGGCAGGTGTGGGCATGCCTGCAGCAGGCAGGCAGAGCCGAGGGACACAGGCACAAGGGAATACCTGAAACAGGAGATGCATTCACATCATTGGCCACTCAGAGTTCATTTCCTCAGCAAACCCTTCAGTAGCTGCAGGAGAAGCACTGCTAACTTGCACCCAGGGAGGCAATAGCTTGATCTCTTCACCCAGAGAAGCTGTGGATGCCCCATCCCTGGAAGCGTTCAATGCCAGGTTGGATGGGCCTTTGAGCAAGCTGGTCTAGTGAAAGGTGTCCCTGCCCAGGAAGGACAGAACTAGGTGATCCTTAAGGTCCCTTCCAACCCAAACCATTCTATGATTCTTTGTGAACAGAATATGACCATTTTGATCTTACATGATATGTGCAATTTTTTCCCAAGAGCCAAGACCGAGAAGCCCCCCACTCCATCTTAGCCCAAAGCAGGACTGGCTTCCACAGCCCAATACTACTTTCCTGTTGCTCCATTCCTTTGAAATGGATTACTTAACATGGGAAACGCTAGCAGAAGCAGCAGGTCTGATGTGCTCCCTGCAGTTGGTCTCTCAACATCAGCCACAAGCTGTGGTGCCCCCATGGGCTCCTTCTCCTCCTCTTCTGCTCAGTGACATGCAAAGAGGAGACACAACCCATCATTGCAGCTTAATGGGAGATTTAAGCAGTCCAAGGAATTGAGAACTGTGCTGCTGCAACACACAGGCTGCTTTGGCAAGTATTAATTAGCTATTGGCCATGTACCCCCACGGTCACAGAACTGGCTCCTGCTCACCCGTAGCTGGTTTTCCCATGCTAACATACTGCTCAGCACCCTGAAACATGAACTCCTGCATTTATTCCAGGAGATAGGGAATGGGAAGGATAAATAAAATCACGGAGTGAGCGTTTCCCACTCATTTCTCTTTCCATCACCATGGGGTGTATGCTGCCTCCACCTGTGCTGGGATAGTGTAGGGGTGTTCTGTGTGTCCCAGGAACAGTTGCCTCTTGGCCATCACTGGTTTTTAAAAGTATCTCTTCATAGTCAATTTGATTTCAGTCAAGGGTGAAATCTGCACCAGTATTTATCTGCTGGGAGCCGTTTGCTGACTGGTGCCTGGTGCTGGAGGTGTGACCAGTGCTCCCCCAGGTAACAGAAGTGCTGCCACATGGGGTACGCTCAGTGGGTCTGTGAGGGGCAAGGAGGGAGAACCCAGTTGGGAGCCACAGATGGATCAGCCCAAGTCCCCTGTCACACATACAGGAGATAGCTCAGCCTGGAAATTCAGCTCTGGAGTCACGAATGACTGAAATATTTATGAATCCCATTGCTGAGACAGAGCAGGTAAAATGCCATTTAAGAAAAATCTATTAGAACTAGTCTGTCTGCAGGGAAATATGTTTAGTCACATCAAGTCCAGGCATTTTTCAGAGGTGGTACAGCATTTTGGCCAAAATATTCTTGTGCCTCATATGGGGGCTGTCAGGGTGGCCGTGGGGGTCCCCTGTAAGGAGGCACACAGCTCCCTCAGTTTCTTTGACAATCTAATGGATAAGGGAGGAGCCCAACATTTTTGGTATCATATTAATTTTCAGAGCAATGCCTGAAAATAATATTACCAAATAATTTTTCCTCTGAGAAATGTTTTATTATAGGACATTTAGACTTTAGAAAGGCAGCTATACTCCTACAAACCTAAAAACTTATTAAAGAAGGACACAATAATAAAAATGTAAGAACAGAAACTGGTATCAAAACGCAACAAATGGGATGCCTCTCTGCTTAACTATTAAAATTTCATATCAAAATGCTAAGATCTTCATACTAAGGATATATAGCATTGACAAATGATGGGCTAATCAGCACCAGATATTAATAGCAAAATACATATTATTGCTGATGTTAGAAAATTCCAAGAGGAAAAGCTCTTGAATTTAGCAAAAGGAGGGAATAAAAAGAAATTCTTAAAAAAGAATAGTTAAATCAGGGACAGCACAAGCTAAGTAGCCCATCCATTCCCATATACAAAGATTTTTGACTCAAATCTATCTTAAAACTAGTAGACAGAGGACTAAATGTTTGTGAGATGATATGGTGTAATATGAGAAAAATTTTTTCAGAAAAGGATAAAACAGTACGTGGCAGTTTTTACTCCGTAGTTCTTCATCTGTCTGTCATATTAACTGTGAAAATGGAGATATTGTCAGGAGCAGACTACAGGGAGGTGCAACGTGTGTTGATGCCACTGCCTCTTTCATCAGTACCTCCGTTTCAGCCAAGAATGATCCAGGGCTATAGCCTGAATTGCTCATTCAATTTGAGAGCACATAAAGATTGGAAATAATTAACCTTATCAGGTCAGGCAATTGCAACATGAATTCATGCAACAGGAGCACAAACTGTCTCCAAGTCCTGGCCATCACTGAGGCTCTGTTATGGGCAGCTCAATGGCCACAGTGAAGGAGATTTGATCAGTCATCAGAAAAAATATCACGCATAAAACCACCCAACCCCATCAAGTCAGGGCAAACTCTGTGGGCTGGGTTCGCATCTGAACTCATCCTTGTCTCCTTGATGTGCTGGGCAGTGAAGCAGACTGCAGAGCCACTGGTATCCAGAGTCATCCTCTCTGCCCTCTCCAGCACCTTCCCATGGGCACTATGCTGCAGCTCTGCAAAGTGCATCCCCTCCCCAGGCAAGAGCAATAGGGAAACCCCAAACCAGCAGGTGAGTGTGCCTCTTCCTTGGCCTCTGAGGCACCTGGAGAGAAAGACCTGTGCTCCCACCTCCCCAGATGCACTCACAGAGGTACCTGCCTCTCCTCCACAGCTTTGCACTTGATAATGCAAACATGCTCCCATCTTGGGTACTTTGAGAAATGGGCTATAAAGAGAAACACAC